TATATATATAGTCGCGACTATAACCGTTCCCCGACAAGCCCCCGACAAGTTTTCTGAAAAGTGGTTAGACATCTAGTATGATTAAAAACAAGACCTGTCATAGGGCGGATGAACCTTCTTCCAGAGTCAACGGTCATCTAGTACACAAAATGCACGGGACCTAGAAATCCGTTGGTAGTCGGGTGTGCTGTAAGTCCACTACGGAAGGAATTACCTCCAGTTCTCGTCAGAACATCTTTCTAATCGAGGGGAAATTTTGATGTAACACCTGATGGACCACTAGTTTCTCAGTTGCTTGCTCTGAAAAGTGAGTTTGGCTCTCTGGAATGCTTTATTCACACTAAACAAAGTTCTGCATTGGAATTTCAGGCTTAACGTGTTAGAAGTATCTAATTGCAAACCTGCACGCAGACAGATTGGGTCTTTGGTCGCTTCATTTCCAAATTTTGGCAATGTGGAGATTCTAAGCAGCACGAACATAGAAAAAGTAGTCTGAACAAAGCTTACCAAATATCAAACTGGTCCGCGGTAGGTGGTTGTTCACTTTTGTGATCAAGTTACTCTTATGCCAATTCACGGACTTTCTAAATCTAAAAAGCTAACTTTGAAAATTGCTTATTGGAACATAGCACCTTACTCGAGTTGCCAGGTGCTAGATGTCCAGATCGTCGAATTGTTCTTAGAATACAAACAACTGTCTCGGTATGATTTTGATATTGTTGCCCTCTCAAACACGGTTTTGTGATGTTGGGCGGTTAACAGAACCAGGTCCTGGGTATTCCATCTTTTACAAAGAGAGACCATCAACTGAACGTCAGGGGGCTAGGGTAGGTTTTGCCATTAGAATGCAACTAGTGAAGTTGTCAGAATTGCCGCTTTTCTGATCGGATAATATTACTTCGTTTACAACTTCAGCCAAACCAATTTATGACGGTGATAAATATATGCTCCGACTCTTGTAACTCTCCAGGACAAAATTGACAACTTCTACTCTGATTTCAGAACACTTTTGCAGAATAAGGATGACAAGCTTGTAGATCTAGAGGATTTTAATGTCCGTGTGGAAGTAATTCTGATACTTGGGTGAGTTTAGGTCGCCATGAAATGGGAAAATATAATGATTGTTATGATCTGATTATCAGAGACAGACATCTGTCTGGTCGATTCCCGCTAAGCAACAGTAACGTCACACAGTCACAGTTATGCAAAAGATACCACATCAGATGACTTTTAAGAAACCCGACAAATTGTATATTAATAAAGAAGTTATCTCTTAACCATTGAAACGTATTGACTTGTTTTTTCATGCTCTTGACATCACTAGAACTCACGATAAGTTAACAATAAGGATCATGAAATTGACGACTGATAATGAGATGTCAAAGAAAGTTTTAAAAAATTAACAAAAAAGGATAATGAGACATGTTGATCGCAAAAAGTATCAGGACTGGAAAGATAAGTTAATATTATTTATACTATTTTATTTTAAATTGTATTACATGCTTCAATGTTAGATTATAAAAAATGTATTAGTTTGTGATATAGAATAATTAAAAATAATATTAAATTAAAAGGCGAAAATAAATATTAAATAGTCTAAGTCTGTCTTATACAACTACTTTTGGGAAAAGAAAGCCAAACGGTTTGTAAAAAAAATGTTACATTTGTGTGCGAAAAATTTTTTTTATTTAGAATTAGCTCTAGAAAGGACTGTCAGAAAAACGATCATGGCAAAATGTTGGTGCTTTATTTTTTCAAATTTAAAAAAAATATTCCCCTTGTATTTTTATCACCCATGAAAAATTTAATCCTCCCCAGAGAGTATATAAGATCACGAGTCAGCAGTGAACGGTGAAAGGTAGAGAGCGGAAAATCTGGCAGTGTTCACATATGAAAGTAGGCAAAAGAAAAGGTTTAGGCTGTAGTAGGTATATATTCTTTTGATAAGAAGTTATACTTTCCTGGTACATTTGACCCGCTAACAATTTTTGGTGGACTCGTATAAATGCAAAGGAATAATAAGACATAGAATTTGAACAAAGAAATATTAACAAATATATTGTCAGGACATTTTTAAAAAGATGAGAAATGAAATAAAATGTGAAAAGTTCAAAGCAACTTTAAGTATCTGTAGTTGATTACTCACATATTGCAGGAGCGAAAAGATGTCTTTTCGCTATGAAAAGTCATCGAGAGAGAAATTGAGTCTTTCGAATCTCGCGCTGACTGTAAATCGTCAGGGGGCGATAATTCCAAAATCTTGCCGCATTGAGAGTTTATTAATCAGGGGGGGGGCGGTCATTTAACAAGGCATTCTCAAAGACTACGCTTACAACTGTCTATTGGAGCGAAAGGAAACGTGAGTTGCCGATCAAAATGTCAAATGGAAAAGAGAAAGAGTATTTCAAATATTGCACCACCTGGGCTTATCATCAAGGTGCGGTAATCCAACACATACTCCCTTCAGACTGAAAAAGATTTTATGAAATTTGATTTGTTATGTATGTTTCTAAATGCTGTGACCAATGCACCATGCGACCACTTTTATTGTTGTTGTTGTTACAGGAGTTTAAATTTTAGATTAGGGCATGTTGTCTATTGGTTTGCTTAGATTTGTGTTATGTGTTTGCGCAAATCTTTCATTGTAGACATGTTTTAAACACTCAGGTGATACTGTGCGTTTATCTTAATTTATCAGTCTTGTAATATCTTTCGTAACGTTGCAACACTTTATGCGGACATAAATAATTTAAAAATAATAGTTTCTTAAACATGTCGTTCTTGAGAAAAATATACTCGCAGTTATGTAGATCTTCACATTGCGTTTGTATAAAAGATAATCTGTTCATCTTGTCTTTTAAATTCTTAATGAAGTTCGTAGATGAGGTCGATATTTTGTCTACCTCAAAATATTGACCAAGTAATGTTAGTGAGTTTCCAATAAACGATGTCTTCTGGTGTGCCGTATAAGTCTTTTTCAGAGTATTGCAAATTGATAGAAGGCTAATAGGCAAGTAATCTATCCAGTTATAAGTGCCAACCTTTGAGGCTAACGCCGTTTTTAGCTGCCTGTGGAATCTTTTCACAATCCCGTTGGCACAGTGATGGTAAGCAGTAGTTCGGATATGTTAAACTCCAAGTAGGTTGACAAATACCTGCAAGAGTGTAGATTGAAACTGTGATCCTCTGTCAGTAGTTATATTGGTGAGCAATATAGGTGAAGCCTGTCGGAGTTAACTCCTCCTCAGCTCCTTAACCCTTCACCAGGGGTCTCTCTCCCCTGGCTATAAATCCTGGCTGACCCTTCGCCTCGATCTCTTTTTTCCTCAGGCCTTGGGACTTATACCACCTCGCATATGTGAGCTCTCACAGATACAGCGTTTCCCAAATTCTGGGAACACGCTAAGAACAATACACGTACGTACGAACACTCACCACAACACACACACACACACATAATATTCACCACACGCACTCAATGTAACTGTCCATGTGCTTATAACTTGTACTTGTTGTTAATGCATATATTTGTTTGTATATAATTATCGGTCTTGTTTGTTTTCTTTGGACTTGATTAAAGTCCAACTTTCTCGTGTAGCTGGACTGGCTAGCAGGAAATTCTACCCACATGTGTTCATCTACAATACATACTCATCACCCAACGGTTCACTACAAGCCATGTAAGTTGGGGGCGGGGACTAACAATGTCGATATGCAAATGAGTGAATCTGCCATAAAGTTTCTGGAATTTACCAATGGGTTTCCTGATTTTGTGTTTTTGACACTGAATGCATTGTGTATTTCTGCGTCAAAGTTTTTATTTCAGTGGACATGTTCGGTCATACAAAACGATCTTGTTATCACTTTTGTGGTTGACCGTCTGCCTGTGAAGGGTATTGAACATTTTCTTACGCAACGATGGAGGTATATAAGGTAGCTTTTTTTCATGTCACATATTCTCGCAGCTTAATCTTTCTGTATTTATTGAGAACTACCAGGTCTTTCATTACTTTTACCGTTCAATTGGAGTAGTTTAAGTTTAAAATCAGCCCCCACCCCCGAAAATCAATATTAGTTACAACAATTGGGTGCAACTGAAGCATATCCCCAAATGGGGCGTTAACAATTTGAAAGGATCGGTTTTGCGTTCTCAATCTTGTTCCAGCCTCACGCACAGCAGCAGTTGAAGAGGCGTTTCTCCTCAGTCGTTGAGTCCTTTGATCAGCAGTTTGTAACACCTTCGTCGTGGTCAGCCCGGGGTGAATCCTGATTTGATTAATGGTGATCTCTTCGATCCTGACCTGCCTTACACCACGTTGCGATTGATTTATTATAAGGAGGCCAAGAACGATTCGTCGCAGGTATTTTTGTGTTGGACTGGTCAAAGTCGAGCGAAGTTGTACAGTAAAATTGAAGAAAAAACAGCACTCGAAATATATATATATATATATATATATATATATATATATATACTATTTTTATATCAAATACTGCGTACAATGATCCGTTAGTGGTTGTGTTAGCATGCAGATGTTTGTTGACCCAACCTGTTCCTAAATCGGACGCAACACTTAGGTAAGCTGGTAAATTTTGGCTTGCGAAGTTAGCGAAATTTGTTTTACTAATTTGGTAAGTTTGGCTCAAGGCTTAATTCGGAGGTTCCCGTGATCGGCAGGAGTCGTGGAATCTCTCAGCGACCTCCGCCACTTGTCTTCTGTCTCTTCTCAACTCTTTAAACTCAACTGTCTGAATTTGTTTCGCGCATTCGTATATTTAGGGACTCCAACTAGAAACCTATGCGAAGCAAGATATAGGTTAGGTTTCGGTGAATCCCTTGATTTCCAACAAGAGTCCATTGTTGTCTGCCAAAAGAAAACTAGTGTAGGGTGAGATGTAGTTTGGGGGGTGGGGTATTGGTTTTTCATCCACCTGTCGTATCCATTGTTTTTGGTTCTGAGAAATTAAATTACTTCATAATTTGGGAAAATTTTCCTTTTCTCATGGGAGATGGGTGCAGGCATCGCTCCCCCCCTGGTTACTTCTATATCCTCTTATTACCATCTCCCACCATTGCTTTCCAGTGGACGTGGGCAACACCTTCAACCTCCTTAATGTCTCGTCTGTGCCTGCTACCCTTCAGTAGGTGCAGGCAGCCCCTCCTTGTTCCTCGATCGCTCTTCTGCGACTGTCACCTCCACCATTCGGTCGAAGACTAATTAAAAAAATATTGTTCCAAATGTTATCATCTCATAACTGAATTGACATAACAATTGACTTTCTCGCATTTGACACAAGAGACACTTTCCAAGGGAAAATTTTGCAACTCACATTCGTTCGGCCGAAGGTCAGCATTCTGCAGGTGTTCAATTTATTATTTTCCATCCTGACATCTCTGTAAAAAGATTTCATTTGTAACTGGCACTTAACCTAATTCTCCTCATGTTGATCTCTTAGGCATTGTTTGCCAACACTTGACCAGTTTGTACAAGCCAAGCATTGCTCTCAGCCATTCACCTGGTACATTGTATAAACCTCGATTCTCTGGGAACCAATTATTATCAGTCTATATTCATTTAACCCTTTTCATACTAGTCTATTCGTCAATATTTCATTTTCGTTGATATTCCAAGTCTTTATTATTAATTACCAGTAACCCAAATAGTGTTACAGTTTTAACCTCACACGCAGCAGCAACTGAAGAGGTGTTTCTCCTCAGCCGTTGAGTCCTTTGATCATAATTTTCAGCCTCACGCGCGGAAGCGTTCAGGTATGCTCTTCTGGAAAGCCGGACTCAATGGCACTAACTAAAGCATTTCGAGAGGCATTTTGAGACAGGCAATTCTGAACGTTCTAAAGACGATTCGGTATCTCTTATTTGCATGGCGGACCTGGCGGCAGCAGTTTTGCGGCCTAGGCAAGTTCTTTTATTTGATGACATGAATTGCCAAATGGAATGCATGGGCAAATACCAGAACAGTACGCTGTAAAGCTACAGGGATCACTAAGTTCGAATAACTTTAGGAAAGGTTGGAAAAATAAATGTTGAATAATAAAAAAGCTTACTTATTACTACGGTGAATGTAATGCAAAAACTGGCAGGGCAATAAAAAAAATTAAAATGAGAACGGCTATAAAGGGCAATGAAAACAACGCCTTATTATTAGTAGGCTTTATGCAACGGAAAATGTAACGTCAATTGAGAGAGATTGATTGCTTGACCAAGAGAAGTGGAATGTGTAATTTGGACTCAAAACCGACACTGAAGAATTATCTATCAAAAAAAAAGAATTTAATCGAAATCGGATGAAAACTGAGAAAACGCATAAATACCATCCGATCACACACACACACACACACACACACACACACACACACACACATACACATATTTTGAGAATAATAGATATAGATAATATTATTGTCATAATTTAAAGTATTTATTTTTATTAAAGTTTTTATGAAAGAACATTAAAAATATTCAGGCAGCCTTCTCAGATCCATTACAATCCTAAATGCTTCAGGCGTTCAAAAACAAGTTGAAGATGTTCCAGGTATTCATCTAAACTCTTACTTGTAGATGTATGCAAACTTGAAGGATAAACATCTTAACACTTTGTCTATCAACCTTTAAGAAGTTTGGGCTGCGTTTCGTAAACCAAACGACATCCTGGTGAATTCGAATTAACCGAAAGGAGTGGTGATAGCAGTCTTTGGTATATCTCTTTCTTCGTCAGTGATTTGGTAGTACGCCTTGATTAAATCAAATCTGGTGAAAATGCGTGTATCCTGTAATCTAACGGTTAAACAGGGTAGCCATCTCGGACTAATGATACATTTTGTCGTTGAAAATTGCCACATGGACGCCAAGTAGAAGGATCCGCATTCGGCACCATACAGTGATGACCATTCATTCTTGAGAGGTCGAATTATTCCTAACTGTAGCAAGTGCTGAAATTCTTTCTTTCCAATTTTGTATTTTATCGGGATGAGTTTCCGCGGGATAGAATGAGTCGGTTGACCTGTTAGTTGAATGTGTTTAGCGGGGGTTTAATACGAATGTAAAATAGAAGACATTTCTTTGAATATCCAGGCATAGTGGTCATTATCACTGATCGGAATAGGCATTTCCCTGGTTCCAGGTTTTCTGCACGTTTTAGCGTTATGGTGGTACAAACATCTTCCCATGTTTTGCGTACGAGTTTTTGAGTTGCGTCGGCTGCTGCGCCTATATCGACTGGAATGTCGCCTATGATAACGCGAGAAATATTGCCTTGATCTCACTGACATGGCTTCTACTCACTCAGTGAAATTGTCTACAGTAGACTGAAGTTGTGAGTTATGCAGAGTTGGGAACGTGTTAAAACGTTTTGTGTGCATGTGTTCTAGCAAATCTTGTCAACAGTTCCTGCCAGGATCTCTAGGTCGCCGCCTTCCAGTGAAGGGTTTAAAATTTGGTAGATTATTCAGCCATAGTCCACATAAAATATTCCCAGGCAAGGTGAGATTCGAGAAGACTCCTCATGTGTCTTAAGAATTGTGAAGGTGTCCTGTTTTCGATGGACACTTTATTAAAGAGATTCGTTAACCTCTTTTCTTCAGATTCACAAATCCGGTGTCAGGCACTACGTTCAACAAATCCAGAATTTCACGGGTGACCTCCATTAGAAGTTTTCGACAACGTAGGCGAATTTTGTCTTTTGTGAAGTCACACAACTTACGGTAAAAATAGCCTGCAGTTGAACAAATCATGTCTGCACACCCAATCGGTTGAACGGTTGTAACAGTAATGATGGGGTTGCTTCAGTCGGTTCTTCAGTATTTTGTTATTGAGGAAGAAGATTCGTCTGTACGTATTAACTAAGTTGGCATCTCTCTCCAGCCCAAATCCTGTGGCTGTAATAAAATCTTCATGTAGGTGAAGCAATAGATCGTTATAACCATCGGTGAAAGAAAGGGGGGCTTATGCTGTTAAGTGGCCGTAAAATCACATGGGGAATAGTAATCGCAGTAGTCTGCCAGAGAACTCTACACACATCTTGCAGTGCGACGCAAAAGAAAAAATTCGGAAAGGGTGCAATGTCCTTTTCTTTTTATACATATATCAAGGAGAATATTATGTCGAGTGTTGCAGTAATGGAAGGTATTATCATTTTATGCCTCCTGCTACATTTCTCCTACAAACGATATTTGGCGGACTCATGCGTATCCGGATTAAAAAAAGAATAGAAAACATGGAATTTAAACATACAAAAAAAAAATGAATATATTAACAAGTTATGTTTACAGAAGGATAAAGAAACGAAGTTGAAGTTATGAACAGTTATGAATACATTATTCAGTCTGTATCTAGTTACATGCTTCGTGTGTATCAGAGTGAAAAGAAACATGTGCTGCAGCTCTAAAAGTCTAAGGGAAAAGATGAAGAGCCTTTCAAATATTGCGCCGCGTGTGGTTATCCTCAAGGAGCGGTAATCCGACAAACAATAACAGACACAAAGAAGCGATACAGCCAAACAGAGAGATACATTAGCTGTGAAATGGGCATTAGCTAGACTCAGAGACTACCTTATAGTCGCAAAAATTTAGAATAATAACAGCACATAAACCCTTGATACCAATATTCAATAAAGCGATAGTCATATTGCCATCACATACACAAAAATGGATTATGGAAACAACAGACTTAGGTTTCGAATTAAAATGCGAAACAGGAAGATTATTATCTCAGACTCATTGCAGAAGAAAATAACTAGGAGAGGACATTATAAAAAAAAAAAAAAAAAAAAAAAACTCAAAGGAAAGTATTGATTTCCAGAAATTAGCATTATCAATGTAAAATGCTATTGAGAGAAGACAAACGATAACCAATTAAGCCTACTACTATTCCAAACAAAAACTGGGAAAGTTACCCAGATGAACATTACAACTTAGTTATGAGATGCCCAGTAGTGGAAGAAGTAAACTGTACATCATTTAAAGAAACGAGGGCTAAACTGAAGGAAATATTCTTGACATATGGAACTCCGAGAAAAAACACAGAGAGGCCACCCTTTCAAGTAAGAGTATTTGCAGAATTTGCCAGAGAAGAGGGGCTCCATTATCATAAAATAACACCGCTACACCCACAAATGAATGGGAAGGTAGGAGTATTTATGAATACTTTGAATAAGGCAGAATAGATCACTAACCTGCAAGGAAAAAACAAAATGGAGAGAAAAATAAATATATTATCCTAGTCTAGCGAACGAATCAGAAACAAGAGCTGTTCCCAAGCAAGATATAAAGTCATGAGCAGAGCGGCACTTTCGAAGCAGATACATGGAAAATCAACATAAATAAGAGTCGATGAATTAACTTTATTCATTCTCCAATGTTGCGTTCATCGTAACATACCCAGAGTAAGAATCCGACACAAGCACGACTCACTGGCGACCTTAGATCACACATCCTTTCTTTCATACATACATATACATAAGTATTTACATACATACATATACATAAGTATTTATATACTTCGGACTCTCTCTCTCTCTCTCTCTCTCTCTCTCTCTCTTATAGAGAGATTTACATTTGAACTGATGAACCTCCAACTTCCACTTTATCTTTCTGAATGCACCTATATTTTGAAAAACTTTAGAAAAGCCCAGAATATCCATGAAAATTAGTCTAAATATAAGTCCTGTCTTTTGGCACCAGAAATAACATTGTTTTTGACACTCAGAGCCAGAGATAAAGAAAAGAAAAAAAAGGAATATATGGAGAACATTTTCAAAAGAAGAAATGACCACGACATCCTACACATGTGTACATACATACATACATACACACGCACATACACAAACGCATACAAAGAAGATATATTTTTATCACTTTAAACGTTACTTTCGTATTTGAGTAGCCGCTCCGTTTACTTATTAAACAGTATATGTAGACTAGGTTACATTGGAGTACACTTGTGGCTAGTTTGTCTTCAACGTTTAACGTGTGTATTAGCGAGTTAACTGAGAAGTGTTCCGTTTAACAAGGGCAGAATATTCATATCGTGATATCATTTTTAAATACGGTCACACGAATGGCAATGAATGCGATGCTGTACGGCTGTTTCAGATTGCGTTCCATGGCCTGCACGTTCCGCCGACCTCAGACCTTTGGATTTTTATCTGTGGGGGGCACCTAAAATAATTGGTTTATTCATGAACGTATCACGAGGAACTGCTACAGGGGGCATTCGACACTGTGTGGGGGTATTTGAAAGGGTCCGCCAGTCAATGATCCGATAGGTGCATGCGTGTGCAGAAGCAAGCGGAGGATTTTTTTAACATTTATTCTGAGTTGCTGTATTGAGGTACAAAATGTCTTTTTGATGGCTCCTATATATATACTGCATTATAAAAATTTATTTTTTATATATCAACACTCTGTGCATGCAAAAACCAATATGTAACCTTATGGTGAGAAAGGACGTTGTCATAAGATAAACTTTACCAACCTCCAAACTATAAAAAGTATTTTAAAAAATTATTAGTCGTATGAAGTAATTAAAAATTATAATTAGTGAAAAAAGTATCAGTAAATAAATGTTAAATAGTCTGTGTTTGTTTTATACACTTAGCTTTGAGAGAAGTGTATTAAAAGAAATCCAGACGATTTATTAAAAATTGTTTCATTTTGTGCGTTAAGTTTTTTTATTTGGAATAAATCCTAAAAAGAACCACCTGAAATAACTGTCATGGTGGAGAGTTGGGGATTCCTTTTTCAAATTCGGAAAAATATATTACCCTCGTATTCAATGCAATGGGTGTCATATACCCTCGTAAATTTAAAGTTGAAACTCATTTGAGCTTCATCTGAGGATATTTAAGACGGGTCAGCAGATAACAAAAGGTGGTTAGATGGCTGAAGAGATGAAACCTAATGGCTGCGGCCGAAGGTTGTCAGACATTCAGAAGGGATTAGACGACGGCGGGCAGAAGATGGGACGAGGAGGCGTGTTGGATTCAGAAATGTTTTAGATTTCGTCGTGCGAAATATGCCAGAGCAAAGAGCAGAAAGATTTCGGTATTATTTAAAAAATACGCCGACGAAAGATATTTCACAATAACGTAAAACTTTTCAGAGAGTCTTACGGAAAAGAAAAAGTAAAGGGCCAAATGAACCACGTCGGATCGAGGCAGAAAGAAAACAGAACGACATTGAAAAAATATCGTTAAACCTCTGAGTATTTCAAGGGAAAATACATGTAGTTTTTTTCGTTTCTCTATTAGGTGGATGCACTTCTTTTTTTCTAAGAGTAATTTCTTTTTTCCAACAGTTTTCGTATCACCTTCTCAAAATGTTTTTTTTTCTTTCATGATTGAAATTTGTATTGTAAATCTTTTCGGAAATTTTATTTTATGAAAGAAAATAAAACCTGCTGCAGCAGTATTTTCACTATTGCCCGAATTAATAACGAAAAAGAAAGAAAAAAAAATGCAAATCAGATTCAATTACAAAGAAAAAATATTTATTTATTTCTAACCAACTAAATAAGGGTTCTTGCAAAAATTCGTCCCTTTTTGCTGAGAATAAAAAAAACCCTATTCTCTGATGTAAAAAAGCATAGCAGAAAAAAATTAAAAATTACAATGCACCAAAAAAAGAATAGCACCCACCTGCTGTGTCAATGATAACAATAAAAAACGGGGGGAAGAGCCATAGCTCTACAGTACACTTTCAGTCCTTTCAAGGTTCAAAAGTTTTTTTATCTATTTTCTTTTCTCTCTTGTGTAAACAAGGTTCTCTTGTTGGTGACCAAACTCCCTTCTTTCTTCACTTATTTTCCTCCCGTCCACCGGGAAATTACGCCTTTCTTTTACGGCCGCTAGAAGGTGAAAATTTTCTTAAACACGTGGTAAAACGCTTTTTGAAAACTCACGTGTTTGCTCCTTCTTCTCAAACGGCTTTAGCTCCAAACTCCACTTATGGACTTCTTTTCAAACTTTCTTTTCTGGGGCTTCTTCAAGGGGACTTTCTCTGAAGGGGAAACTTGCCCTCATCAACTTTGTTACCTATGCATCCTTCACTTATGGGCAAACGCTGCCTGTCTTTTCAGCAGGGAGAGAGAAACAACCTCCTGTCTCTAAGTAGTCTCGTTTCCAACTGCTGCTAAGGTTTTGTCCCAGTTCTCCCTTCCCCTTCAAAGGGGGGCAGTTCACCTTTGAACCGTCCAATCACAGTCCATTAAAAAAATATATTAGCAGGTTCTTAGTAACACAGTGAGTGTCTCTTGTTCTCCCTGACCTAAAAATTTTCAAAATCTTTTTAGAGCCAATTATTTCTATAATTTTGGTACGTTATTTTTGCCTTGTTCATAATTACGTGGCCAAAAAGAAATTTTTGTGAAAGTCTTTTTTTTTTGTTGCAAATGTTGTACTTTGTTAAATTGTTTTATATCTGTAGAATAAATGTTTGTACCCTTTAAATTTCACGAGATTGTTTCGAGTCTTGTTTGTTATCGTATGCGTCTTTTTAATATTTGAGATAAAAGAGGCGTTCCATTCTTTTCCCATTCCTTCTCAGAAAAAAACCCTTAAATGCACTGAAAGATAGAGATATTACAATCAAGTTAGGCTATAACATGTCTGAAAAAACAAAAATAGAAAATGGTGACGATTTAATAGAAATGAAAGATGCACGATACAAAGACAAACAAGGAAAATGAAAGGAATAAAATTTGTGCACGGATACTATGTATTAACGAAACAAATAAAACGGAACAAATGGTCAACACCATAGAAAACAACTTTCTACATAACAGAAATCAAAGGATCACCGATCTGAGCCAGATATATCAGTGATGAAAGGGGGATAATCAATTTAAACTTGTTAATCAAATCATAAATTAAAAATAGGATTATGTAGATGACACTGATAGTGGTAAAGAGATAAATAAAAGCCTAACAATGGGTATTGATACAAATCATAATGAAATACTTTCAACACTAATACCAGAAAAACAACTACAAACGACACTAATCCAACATCAACAACAGACGATATCAGTCTACCAATAAACAGATGAAACCAATTCAACGATAGACGATACCAAACTTAGCAAACATAGATAAATAAGAACTCTAAAATATTTAGATGACGATGTAACGAGATAAACTATAACAGAAAAAACGCTAATTTCAATATTAAACAATTTATTTTTTCTGAAATTTAGGAAGAATATTATGACCTGATTGCCAGAGACAGACATTTGTTTGATCGATTTCCGCTAAGCAACAATGACGTCACACAGTCGCAGTTATACGACAGACACCACATCAGGTGACATTTAAAAAAAAACAGACAAATTGTACAGTAATAAAAAAGTTAGTTCACTCTTAACCTTGAACCGTATTGACTTGTTTTTTCCATGCTATTGACATCACTAGAATTCACGACAAGGTGTCGATAAAGATTACATAAAATGAAGATCCATAAAAAATAATATTTGCGTGTTCTTACCTCAGTTGTGCCCAGAGTTAGGGTTTGTGATAACTGATTTAACTGATTCGGGAAAAAAAGACAAGTACAAAGGTGATATGGAAACATCTCCACTCAGGTCAACTGGCACATCCTTGACTGTGCGGGGATATAGCGGATGTGAAATCTGTCTGTTGTGTGAAAGTGACATAAGTATATTATCCCTAATTTAACAAAATAAAATTTCATTAAATAGCATACACATGAATCATACCATTCTTTTACAATCATCATAACTCACAAGTAGCAGCAGCTCATAACAAGCAAAAATCCACACAGACCGCCCACTCACAAAAATTCTTCTTGTCTAGACAGCCAGACAGATATAAAAATAGACCACATCATGCTGTCTAGACAGCAGTCGTGACAGTAGTTTTGAACCAGACAATCAGAGGTCGAAGACGCGTTGTTTGATGAATCGAATAGCAGCTACACAATGAATCGAATGCATTGCTGCTCAATTCATGCTGTCAGTCACTTACAATCTCTTTATGAAGCAAATACGAACACATAAAAAGGACTTTTTTCATTTTTCTTGTAATCTCTCCTAAATTGTTATATTACATATTGTGTTTATTATAAACCTTGTTTAAAATTATTTATACATTCTCAAATGTTGACTCTGACAAAAGCAGGATTAAGTATTTGTTATTTCTTGATTTAGTTCCGATAATCAAATTATTTTATCGTAATTTGGGTTGACGAAACATTTCCTCAGACTGAGTTCTGAAACAACCAACCCTTACGTGCTATACTGTCTGTTAGTATCTGCTGGAAGGTGAAATATAGTGGCATAAATTTGGCAAAAAAGATGGACGTATTTCAACTTAAAGAAAAGCTTGACAGTTACAAAAGTGCAGTGAAGGCAATAAAACTCCCCAGCTGTGAAGACCCGTGCTCAAAATTTAGTAAAGAATTTTTCGAGGCCGCTGTTTCCATGTTAGGTTATGTAGGGAGGAAATATCAAGATTTTTTTCAAGGAGAATGAACAACTAATTTCAAACTTTCTGAAGGAAAAGAAAGTCGTGCTGAACAAGCTTCTTTCTTGTTCAATTCCGTAAATGAACACAAGAAGTTAGAAAAGGTTATGAAAATTATAATTATTATTATACTACGTGTGACGAAAGATATGTGGGCTGTCAAGAAACCCAAATAAATCAAATCATATGCTGACAAATGAGGTACGAAAGCCTCAACCATCATTTACGCACCATTTATGACGCTGATGTCGGAGTGAATGGACTTTTTTTTTTCATTGCTCAAAGAAAGCGGTGTCGTAATTTAAAAGGAGGGAGGTCTTTAATTATACATTTTTTATTCTTATATTTTTCTTTGTTTATTTTTATTTAATCGGTATCAACTCATGAAAGGCAGTAAAGCAACTAAGACACAAGGGGTTACAGGGTATGGAAGAATTAGAAACAGAAACATTAATAATGAGCGGAAAGGGGAAAGAGTGATCAGGAGGACAGTAGATAGCGATTGACATTGCATTTAAATTTTTTGTAGATTAATTTGGCTGGAAAGCATGGAACGGGAAGGGAGATCCACAAACGGGAAGTGCGAGAAAAGAAACTGTTAGCATAGAATTTGCGGCTACATCTAGCCAGCTCTACTGTGAATTGATGAGATCTCGACGTCAGTCTAATACTGCGCTTAAATTAAAAAGTCTAGATATCATAGCGAAGAACTCATTCGAAAAATTACCATGAAAGTATTAATAGAAAAGACACAGAGAGCCAACCTTTCGGTAGTGAGAAAGTGACTTAAGCCGAGCCACCAGATCAGGACCAGTAATATTACTGATTCTTCTTTGGATCTTATCAAGGAGCCCAAGGTAAATAGCAGAGGCACCCGGCCATATACGGCAGCACTATTCTAGATATGTAAGATAGATTCTAGAGGGTAAAATTGTTTTACATGACACAGTGAGCCGACTTTCTTAGCAGCCGACTAAGCAATGGATTTAATATAGTCTTTCCACTTCAGGTCAGCTGAGAACGTTAGCTCGAGAAGGCACAAAGAGTCACTTTAACTGGAGGTTAACATCAGCGATGCTGATACAAAGTAGAGAGGCGTCTCTAAGATGATTGATGGAAAGAAGTTTAGCTTGGAGGCATTAAAATTAACAAGCCATCTTTTGTCCCATTTTGACCTTGTCGGACTGAACAGTCTTACTATCACAATTTGATAGGAAGTACTGGATCAGTTCAAAAAATGTGTCCGGAGACACCGTAACTTTTCAGCTTGTGCAGAAGACCTGTACGCTAAACTCTGTCAAAGGTTGTCGAATGACTTGGAGAAAGAGACCCGAAGAAACGAAAGCCATATTGCTTGCCTGAAAAAAGGCCCTGCGTTGAGAGATGATGAACCGATTCAGTATTGATATGACTTCTAGGAGTTTCCCCCCCACCAAAAAAAAAAAAGGTTGAAGACTAATAGGCCGATAACTGGAAGGGTCGGACGGTTCACCAGAATTCTTAAAAACTGGAACAACAGATGACAACTTCCAGTAGGCAGGGAAGCAGGAGGCAGCGAGGTATTTATTATACCAGTTTAGAGAGAACAGGAGCAAGTTCGGGAGCACACTTCTTTAATGACTATTACAGGGATGCCATCGGGTCCACATACTTTGTGGTGATCAAGGTTAGAAATGAAAATAGAAACCGTATGCATATCACTCAACAGAAATTCTGTTCTAAGTGGAAAGTTAGGCAGGGATACTACAGATGAGTCAAGAGTAGAGTTTAAGGTGAATTTACGGGCAAAGCATTCAGCTTTATCAGCAGAGGATGTTAACACTTCAAATCGGTTGAAGAGAGGAGAGGAATAGAGACATTGCACTTATTTAATACCCTATTAGAAAGGCGCCAGTAATCACGAGAGCCAATGTTGTTAGATGCTATGCGGCACCTCATCCTTTCGACAAACAGGGACTTTGCTCCTTCGAGAAATCGCTTACATTTATTACGAGCAGCAATGAATAGGCGCCTGTTGTAACGAGAGCTGTCACGACGGTATAGTCGAAAATAGTGATTCTTGTGTGCTATAGCGGTCAGTCATGCGCGTGTGAACCATGGAGTGGATTGAGGTGTATTATATCATTTTGTTATATTATTATGCATTTACAATATTTAATTATTTAATTCATTTTTTCTTTTAAGTCGATGTATACATCGATTGATTTTTTAAAAATATATTTTTAATAATAAACTTACTTTATTAAGAATTTTATCACTAGTAAATGGTAAATTTTATCACTAGTAATGGGTACATTTAATGCACTGCATTTATTAAATTACTCATACACAGGCATGAGTAATTCTATATATTTATTCGTAACATTTCTCTATTTTATGAAAGAGAATTCAATTTTCGAAATTGTAGGAAATGCATTTCGAGTCGTAATGTTTGGTTTGTTTATCATTGACTATTATTATCGTCGATCTCTTTACCTATCATTTATCATTCAAATATTTTTACCAACATTTGTCAATAGTTTTATGCTGTTATTCTTTTCTTATTTATTGATTGTAGTAACGCAACATTTTTATGGACGAGAATATATTTTCAAATTTGTAGGAAAAGTGTTTCAAGTTTTTTGTTCAGT